TATATATATATATATATATATATATATATATATATATATATATATGCTGATAAAGGCATCTCTCCAGAGCGAATGGGCTCCAAAAAGCCAGTTCAAGCAGTAGGGATACATCCTGGTCTCATTGCTGTGGCCCCAGAGACTGTCTCAGCCATACAACTGCCACACACATTCAGAGGGCCTAGTTTGGTCCTACATTGATTCCCCCACTGTCAGTCTGGAGTCAATGAACTCCCCTTAGCTCCGGTAAGCTATTTCAGTGGGTATCCCCATCATGGTCTTGACCCCTTTGCTCATATTCTCACTCCTCCCTCTCTTTACTAGACTTTGGGAGCTCACCTCAGTGCTTCTCTGTGGGTCTCTGCATCTGCTTACGTCAGTAGTGTGCCATATTATGTCAGAAGCAGCTAATACATCACATCTCATGTGTCTCTTCTATACATACCATACATGTTCCATATAACCTATGTGCTGTGTTTATAATACAGTGAGGTACGTAGTAGACGGTGCCATGTAGGTTGATGCTACTGCTCTCTCAAAATCACACTATTAAGCTGCCCGATGACCTATTTCTCATAATATATGCTCAATTCATGGAAAGTACACACACACACACACACAATGGGGTAGGAGCTTCAGGATGGGCCCTCAGGCTGAAGATACAAAGAAGAGTTCAGTTGTGTCCAAAGGCAATCCCTTTTGTCTTCCATGGCCATCCAATCTGTTGATGGCTTTAAGATAAAAGGGTTAAGTCCCCCCCCCATATTGTAGGAGAAAATAAGCTTTTCTCTACATTTGCTTGTGTTGATTCTTGTCTAATACCTCCACAGAAACATCTAGAATAGGATTTGACCAAATACCCAGATACCAGTTTAAAATATAAACAACCACTATGTTGAGTCACACTGAAGGAAATAGGTGTCTAGGGAAGACCTTATGGTTTTATAGGTGGTCCCCACTTCCTTTGTGCAGGTGAAACGTGGATAGCCAGTCCCTTACTACCTTGCCTTTCCTGCCTACTGCCATAATGGATGGTATCCCAGACAGGTAAGCCAAAATAAGACTTTCCTCCCATAAAACAAAATTAGTCCCCCAACTGTCACTTACAGAAGGGCAGGATTCGGCTGCTTTGGCTGTTTACTCTTGCACTTTCTATGCTCTTAATAGGTACTTTTGAAGGAAACTTAAAATACTGCAAGAGGCAATGCTTTAACGCAGCAGTTGTGACTGGTGGTGTTTTAATTCTATATAATCCAAAGTTAGTAGTATTAAGATACAAAGAGCTTAGCAGAGCCCAGAATTTTAAATAGCTGTCAAAGTGGGCCAAAGATATTCCTTAAACCTGTACTGGTCACAGCCATCTTCAGAAGCTCCCTGTAAGGTGTGATGAGTGGAAAAAAACAGTGTCCGTGTGTTGACTGGGGTTTCTGTACTGCCCAGTTCCCACAGTCGTTAAGTCCCAAAGAAATCACACAGAGGTCTACATAAGTTATAAACTAACTGGTCCACTAGCTCAGGCTTTTTATTAACTCTTATAACATATATTAGTCCATTATTCTTATCTGTGTTAGCCACATGGATCAGTACCTTTTTTCAGCAAGGCAGCCACATCTTGCTTCTTCTGTGGCTGGGCCAGGACTGCATAAAGCAGAATCCTCTTCCCAGAATTCCCCTGTTCTCCTTGAGCCACCTCTACTTCCTGTCTGGTTGTCCCACCTATACTTCCTGCCTGGCTACTGGCCAATCAGCATTTATTTAAAACATAATTGACAGAATACAGATAATTGTCCCACACCATCTATGCCTTCTGTGCAGATGATAAAGGCAGTCAAGGAATCACTTTTGACCAGCAATAGCATTTTATCAACAGACTCCAACATGTGATTCATACGTGCTTGGTGAATCACAGCAGAGTCATAAGCATCTGTTACTCCCTTGTACACTAGATAGCTCTCATTGGTTTTTCTTGCCAGAATCCTAATCAGTGACATACACTTGCCAACAGGTCCTCCACAGATGACTTTATGCTCTGTACCTGGACCTCTTTTTGTAAAGCTGACAAGTGTGGTGTCCTGTCTCAGTAGTCCAAGAACTCCACCTTCTCAGGAAATGAGGAGGGACAGAACACTGAGAACCTTAAAGGACCAACAAATAACCTGTTTGTATTATATCCTTGACTTTTTTAACATACAAATTCCAGTTCCCCCTCTCTCCACTCTCACTTTTCCCACCTCCCTTTCAACTCCCCCTTGCCCCGCTTCCATTTACTCCTCAGAGAGGGTAAGGGCTCCCATGGGAAGTCAACAAATTCTGTCACATCACCATGTTGAGACAGGAGTAAGGCCCTCCCCGTTGTGGTCAGGCTGAGCAGGGTTGACTGACATATTAAAAGCTAGTCTCACAACCAAAAAAAAATCATTGAGATTTTATTTAATTCTTTAAATGACAGTCACTAAACATTAATTAATAGATATTAACCAAGCATCACTGATAAGGAAAATAAATGCACTGGACTATATAGTGAATAGCATGTAGGATGACATTAAATTCAGGGTGGTGAACATCCAGGGAGGGTCCTGGTGTAGGTGGGGGAAATCAAGGGATACCTTTCTAATCAGCCCACATATACGCAGGCAAGAGCAAGTGAGTGGACAAACTATATTCCAAGTTGCAGAAACTGGGTGTGGGCTTCTGTGAACGCCCTGAGGGAGCAGGCTTTGTGGATTCCACAAGGTGGCTGATGAGTAAGAACAGAGCAAGAGGAATGACATGCAGAGAGGACGAGGAGGAAGCCAGGGAAGGTGGGGAGTCCTGGATGGCATTAACACTAGATCTTTAGCCCTGGAAGGATGCTGCTTGTAGATTTGGCATAGTACAGTGAACTTATGAACACTGTAATGAAAGAGATGGCCTGGGAATGGTAGCTTGGTGACAGACTTGCCTCCGAAAGAACACGGCAGGTATGGCAGAGAGGACAGAAAAATGGACAGTAGAAGGAAAGATCTCATTGCACTGGAGTACTGCATGTGTGAATCTGCATCCAGACTGTGCTGGGGAAACGGGAAGGCTGGCCATTAGCTGGGAAAGCGGAGTATCACTTTGGCTTCTGGCTTCTCCCGTATTGACCTCTGGAAACCAGGAGCTGGGGTCCCTTCTAGTCTGTACCTAGAGCAGAATCCCATTCGACAAGTAAAGGGAATTCAGAAACAATTGCATTCTTTATCCAGAAGACAGTGATGGGAAACCAGCCTCGCAGCCCACACCTCCACCTTTTCCTTGCAATTCGGTCCATGAGACTTAGGAGAGAGCACACCTACTCTAGCTCATTCTGCCAACACCAAAGCCCATGGCTCATCAGCTCTCCTTCCCTTTGGTTCACTGTCAATATTTCATTAGCCAATATTAACCTTAAAAATGGAAGAAAGAAAAGAAAAAAGAAAGTTCAGACTCTTTGAAGGAAGGCACAAGGCAGAAGAGAGTCTGAGCAATAAGGCCAGATTTATTTCTGGCAGACGTGGGGAGAAGGAAAGCTGTGAATACTCACACATTAATAATTTTTCCCCTGTCACAACTATAATCAAAGCCCTGATGACAGCGTTGTCATAAAATCTATACAGCCACTACTCTGGCCTGGGGTTGAGTCTGAATCCTGGGCTCCAGGCTCAAAACTCCCACAATAAATTCTTTCATGGCTGTTCAGAAGCTCCGTATC